ATGTTCGACTGTATATTTTTTTATATTATATTAGTAAGATATGTATATAGTATCAACGAAACCTCTTACTTCTGAGAAAAGGCTTCGCTGTGTACCTATGTTCTTTATCACGCTTGTGGGCATGATATCTACGGTTAATTTCTATCACAGCCGCCTATACCACGTGGTAACATTACAAAGAAATTCGCCCTAAATCTCAGAACCTATATGGTTGCATACAATATAACTTACAGAACATGCTTCTAAGTGAAGATTTTTTCCTATAGATTACAAAACATGGTTGCTAGAAAAAAAAGAATTAACTATGTTTTTAGAATCATTGACTACTCTTGGTGTAATATATATTTATTGTAGCATAAAAACGCACTTTAAATCCGCTTACAATATAAATATTTTCTTTCTTATCAGGAGCATAGCGGACTAGTAAGCTGGTCAACTAACAGGGACTAAGGGCCTATAGAAAAATGCAAATGAGATGGAAAGATGACACCAGGGAAATATTGTCTCAATGGAGGAAAATGTAACGAATTAACAACGATGGGTTTAAGGATTGATGTTGTGGTAGTCGACCTGATAAGCAATGGCACCCCTGCCCTTAGCCACCTTACTAACAATGCAATAAACAAATCAAAATCATGTGATAATAGTCTAACAAATGAAGGCAATCAAAACACAAAAAAAAAATAAGAAAAAGAACAAATTGAATTTTAATTTTTTTATAAATATCTCTCACCCGTCAAATATTATTAAAGATTATTACATTTGTATGTATCTGATGTATTATATTATCATAGGTATCATAGGTATAATCTAATATACCAGTTCAGTTAGAATTCTGTCTTCAAAGCCCCCGTCATGATGCGCTATCTAGCGAGTTAGAGATTAAATGATACTAAACATTCGTTGCTGTACATGGAAATATATAAAATTTCTATGGTATCTAGTTTGTACAAAGAGAATCATCATCATTTCAGCCGTTAACTGTCCACTGCTGAACATAGGCCTCCCCTTTGGGGGATTTTATCAGTATTTACCAGGCTTGATTGGGAGGCGAATTAGCAACTGCAGTTAGGCTTTGGTGATGTTTTAAGAAAGACGCAAGAAAGTCCCTCTCCGACAATTAAATTCTTTTAAAATCGTCTCTTATGACACCCCCGGCAAAGAAGGGGCAAATAGAGAATAAGAACTGCAAATTGACAATTGAACACTTGATATCAATATTCATTATTATTTCACAACGTGAATTAGAATGAGAAATTAGTAATGGAGACTAGCCGCCCCATTGCTACATGTAAATCTATCCACAAATGGACACCACAACTTATAGACATCATCATCTCAGCCATCAACTGTCCACTGTGAAACACAGGCCTCCCCCATAGACTGCCATAAGGAACGGTTCTGAGCCACCTGCATCCACTGATTTACTGCACTGCATATGAAGTCGTCAATCCATCTAGTGGGTTTTTTTAATGGGTGAAAATGGTATGGTAACACCGCCTGCGTCAACGGGATACGCTGGCCGAGCACCAGTGAAGGGTGATAGATGAGAATGAAAACAAGTCAGTTAGCTTATCATGATGAATTCATCAGGAATTAACCGTGATAGTTTCCAGGGAGAACCGCGAGGAGGTCGACCTAGTTGGGTATATTGCTAGCAATGGGATTCTCAGTCTCCATTACTAACAATCCCTTCCCCCCCCCCCATCTAGTGGGTGTCGTCCTACACTGCGTTTGCCCGTATGAGATTGCTATTTAAGAACCTTTCTTCCCATCGGTTGTCGGTTCTTCGAAGTGTGACCAGGCCATTGCCTCTTTAACTTGCTTATCCTTCGGGCTAGATTGATCACCTTGGTTCTTTTGCGGTTATCCTTATTTCGTATTGTACAACGCAAAGAAACTCAGAGTTTGCCTTGAGAGTGCCCTCTCTATATCTCGCTGAATAATTTGAAGCTTTTGCATACGGGCAATAGGGCCACTAATAGACATACAAAATACGTATTCCTTTCAAATGTTCAAATAATACCGTTTGCGTATTCTCAAACTTACGATAATTAATATCCTAGGTGGCATAGACGACTTCACTTCGCTCCTTTTCATTAAATATTTCAAGTAATTTTTTATATTGACACGGTTCTTTCGATTAACTTGACTAACGGTTTACTCGAGTTAAAATACATTTGACTCACTGAAATCTATTTTTTATACTGGGCATAAAATAATAGATGAGTTAAGCAATAATATTATTTTATACCCTCATTATATCGTTGGTGAATGTATTGCAAAAAGTGCTCTGCTAGCAAAATAAAATGTAAATCAGAATATATCACGATTATCATCTTCCTTGCCTTATCTCAATTATTCTCAGCATTATATCCCTTATTTGGAGTCGGGGTAATATGATTTTATTCATCAGAGGGAGTTGTACAAAAGTCATTTGCTTGGATACTTCTGTCTCATCCGTGTTTCTGCTGTGAAACAATTGTTTTTGCATGGCTGTTTCGGTTTGTTGATTTTTTAATGGGTAAAAATGAAATAGTAACCCCGCCTGCGCTATCGGTATATACTGGTGGAGCACTAATGGGAAATAATACGTAAGAATTATTGCAGATCAATTGACTCACCATAACGAATTCAACAAGAAATAACCATGATAGTTTCCAGAGAGAACCACGTAGAAGTCGACCTGATAGCAATGGGGCTATCAGACCTCATTACTAATAATCCTTTACACTGCATTAACCCATTCATCAAACTTTACCCTTTTGAAGAGTGGGATAATGCAGTGAAATTAAAAGGTACACACCATGCCTTAGTGTTATCACCTTAGTCCTCAAGAATGGTAACGCATAGGGTACTATGGGCGACACAGTACTGTTGTCCATTGTACTATTCATGTCTATACGATTACCGCTTTCCACCAGATAGACTGTCCGATAGCTTGTTTGCTAATCTAATTGATTAAAAAGTCTAATTTCCCTAGGATTTGGTTTTTGGGTTTACGAGCGACTAAGTTTATTGATAATATTCGCCATCTACGGTATGGGGGAAAGGATCGAGGAAAAAGGAGGAGAGCGTTAGATTGAGTAAATGATGTTAGTAAAAAAGCAATGAAGGTCTTATAGAAAAAAGGGAAAGAAGAATTGCATATAAATCTACCATTGAATATACTTTACGCCTACTTCACCTTGCTTCGGAATTTTTCATATAAATTATTGCCATCAAAATTCAAATTCTCAATCTGAAAGACACCTTAAAAATAATATTACTTCCTTATTATGGCATGATTAACATTTTAGCTCAAGAACTTTTAGAAAATCAATCAGAAACATTGAAAATTATTAAATTGTTGTTGAAAATTGACAGATAATTACGACGTTGACACACCTTCAGTAAGTACTAATAGTAATAATGAACTAACAATAACGAGCGCTCGTAACAAAAAAATATTACCGTTTTAAAAAATTTCCAACACAATTATTAAAAATCGTTTTTCATATTAATATATTGTCAGGCATATATATTATATATAGTCTAATACATGAAAAAATACTTGTTTATAACTAGCTAGCTAGCTAGCTGTTGCCTCAACTTAGCATGCATGGTATCATGTTTTCCGTTTATGTTGAAATTTTCAAAAATCCATTTTTAGCGGATGCCTACGTTATAAAATACGATTTTATAAGTATAAACTTCGTTAGAAAAAAATCTTCATTGCCATTTTACATTAGCCGCCATATTAGATCTGACAATATTTAATGTCCGAAAAAAATATATTGATGTGAGAAATTAGCGTTAGAAAGATTTGTCCAATATTTCAAAATAATCAGATGATTATTTGAAAAAAAAAAAACCTATTACATAATCAGTATCGATCACATAGACCAACACAAAAACAAGTTAATAAAAACGTTGCAAAAAATTAGTTAATTCGCGCTACCCTAAGTCTTATTCTGAAGACACGTAACAAAAACTGTAGAACATGCTGCACTGAATTTTTTTTCTTTTATGTGAGTGATACATGCTAAATATAGAGTATGCGTGTTGTAGCCGCCCAGTGGCGGTGCGTCGTTCTATTACGTGTCTCGTTAGTCAGCCTATTAATTCGCGAATGCCTGCGTCAGCATCGTTACAAGGCTATGCGTAACTACACTTGTTTTAGGAAAAACAACGCTCGTGTAACGCGCATGTTTATTATCTATATTATTTGGACAGAACTCGATTCCATCAGGTACCGATTTACGTAAAGGATTAAAAAAAAATACCGATTTTTTTAAACAAATCAATATTATTTCCAATAAATTTATCAGTACATCCACATTGAATGCAATAGTAATTTTTATCCATTAAATACAACATAAAGTCTTCGACAGCTTGAAACTAAACATTATGAATACAATCTATTTACAATAAGGTGGTTTAAACACAAAATAAAACATTGAACATAACAAAAATCAGTGCAACAATAAAATAATAAATATTTATAGATAGTGGACTTCAACGTGGTAAAGTTATAGTAATTCTACAAATATAATATATTGTTAGTTATACAAGTTTATTACAAAATTATCTATTGGGCATTAAATCACAGAGCTAAGCGATCAAGTTCCGACCGATAAAGTGACGCTTGTAGAAGACCACAAGACGAGATGTGACGCGCACCGCGCAAACTGAAGCATCCGATGTTCCGGCATTTTGTATACAGAGCTTAGCTTTTTGCCTAATCCCTTATTTATCAGACGGTACATACTCATCATATTACAATACGAAAACAAAACAACTGATTCGAGGCAATTTGTGAGCGGCACTTAAGAATAACGAAACCGTATCAAACCTTCACGCACAAAACCTCTAAACTAATCTGTGAGTACCGATACTACAACTCGAAATTATAACACTATACATATCAAAAATGTCAGAGCTGCACAGTAAATGCGTATACAATAATATCGAAAGTCATCTACGCTGGCTAATTGTAAATAATTCTAAATAAAGATAACGAACACGGTATCGACCGGCGTCCAAAAAGTCTACGTCGATTCTATAAGACTAGAAAAATGCAAATGATTCGAAGGAAAACTGACAATTTCGTCGACGAACAAATGCCCATACTTGAAAATCTGTACAATTGATATGTGTAGTCCCAGAAGCGATGCGAAAGCTTTCTTGCGGCCCGCGAACGGCGACATAACGTCATATAAACAGATGAACACACTATGAAATATCATCAATTATCTAAAATATTCAACAAGAGAATTGGGCTGAGTCTCCTACTCGTTCGGTTGAGAATTTCGATAGAGCTCGTACAACAATAATTATCATAACTTAGGACAGTCGTTAGGCCTTAATATATAAAATTTACAGTTATGTATTATGGCAGATATCAACAATCAATTTATATCTATCAAATATGATACTGACACTTTTTACAGAAACAATACTAGGAATATATACACACGATAACAACGTTCACCGACCCCGCGGCGTCGCGCCGCCACCTCCAATAATAAATGGCACTTTCGATACAAGCTCAATCAAGTATACAAACAATTTTCCGTGTCCTCGACTCGCACCGGTCGCCAAAAACAATCACCGGACCGAGAGCATCCAATATGACGACTTCGATCTATCGTTCTAACTATAGGTACTAAATTATACTAATTAAATACTTCTGAACCCTCGGCCGACAACTAAGCGCGCATATAATATTCGAATCGTTAAGGTACTGGCAGCGGGGCGGCCGGTCCGAGTCAATTCTGCCGAGATTACAAAATCACTCAATTTTGGAAGAGGTCACGACTCGGAAAGAATCGAGTGAATGAGCAAAGAATCGGAGCCGGTGGCGCGTCCAGAACGGCGGCTACGCGTATCCCGGTGGATCCCAGGTGGCCGTCCATCAGGAGATTTGTGGTAGCAGCAGGTAGTAAAGCACCGCGGCGAGTATAGGCACGCATACCGCGGCAAGCTGAGTCATGGACACGCGAGTTGATGGTTTGCACTGCAACTGAGCTAGTTGTTCCGCTAGTCGCGCACGTTCGCCGCACACCTCCGCCCACCGCTCCTTCGCGCGGACCAGCTCCTCTTCAAGTGCGTGCAGCGACCCGTTCTGCAGCGTCACTTGCAGCCGCTGTTCGTCGTCGAGTCGCACAAAATCGGTCGCAGGCTCGCTCGCCGCGCTCTCCTCATCCCTGTTGATCTCCGTGGACGCCGAGTCAGTGTCGTCGTCATCCTCATCAAGCCGGAACATCTCATCAATCTCAGCGGATATCTGTTTAGCGTCGATTTTTTCATCGACCTTTCTTAAATCTTCAATAGAGGGTGTAGTCTCAATCGCTCTATCTGTAGTTTGTTTCTCGGTGTCGGCCCGTTGTCGTTCGAGCAGTTGGTCCTTGGCGAGGAGTTCAGCGCGCAAGTTGTCGACGAGAGCTGTGAGGTCGTCGAGTTCAGCACGTGTAGGTCGGAACGCAAGTTGCGCCTGCATTTCGGCTGCGTTTGCCGCCAGCCGTTGGATCTCGGCGAGATTCGCCTCCTCTGCGACCGTCGAGCGCGTTAATTGAGCCTGAAATTATAAATATTTATTTAATATAATTATACTACCTATAATAAATAATGTAAATACTTAGCTTTGGTTTCTGTAAAGATCTTGACATAAAGATATAAGTTGTTAATTCAGTAAACATAAATAACTATGAATGCGTGCAACCTTTAAATCAAAAGATATTATATCTCAGTCTTTAGACATAGCTAAGTAATATACCATGAGCTGCAATTTAATACGGAATGTCTATAGTGTCTAATGTCCTTGTCCATCAAGTGGATTTTTAGCTTGATTTTCAGAAACATAAAAAAATAATACAAAAGTACGAATCTACTTTTTTTCTACTACTTTGGTGGCAAACAAAAATACAGCCCGTGTGATGGTAAACGAGATTACCGAAGTCTATGGACACCTATAACACCAATATTTTTTTAAAATGCGTCAGAGCGGTATGATGTAAATGAATAGAATATAGGGTAATAAATATAGGAAAGAAGTGTATTAATTTTTTTTTTAACCCCGGAAAAAGGTGTAAGGTATATGCAGTGGAATTGGACGTTTTCTTATGAGTGATTCCTTTATAACTTTTATATGTATTTATTTTGTCTTATAATTTCTGCATCCTTTAAATATGAAACACTCATTTTATTTATTAAATAATATGTTCAGATACATTTTATGCGTAAGTATATAAAATACTGATAAAAAAAAATGGCAACCTCACCCGCAGTATCGGTATACACCGGCGGGGCACCAGTAAAGGTATCATTTTTGGTGAGAATGAAGCAGGTCAGTTAGCCCATCGTGACGAATTCAACAAGAATTGTTCACGATGGTTTCATTGCAGGGGGAACTATGTATATAGTGTGTAGTGTGTGAGTGTCAACCGGAGTGTGTGTAATAGGGCGGAGTGTGTGTATGTGCGGAGTGTGTGTGTGTAGCAAGTGTGTGTGGGTCAGTCAAACTCCATGTGTGTAACAGTGTGTGTTTGCGTAGTGTGTGTGTGTAGTGTGTGTGTAGTGTGCAGAGTGTGTGTATAGTGTAGTGTGTGGAGTGTGTGGAGTGTGTGAGTGTGTGTAGTGTGTGTAGTGTGTGTAGTGTGCGAAGTGTGTGTAGTGTGCGGAGTGTGTGTAGTGTGCGGAGTGTGTGTAGTGTGCGAAGTGTGTGTAGTGTGCGGAGCGTGTGTAACGTGCGCAGTGCGTGGCGCACCTGCAGGTCGAGTATGCTGGCGCGCGCGAGGGCGGCGTGGTCGGGCTCGGCGGCGGGGTCGCGCGCGGCCAGCAGCTCGTCGCGCACGCCGCGCAGCTGCTCGTTCTCGGCGAGCGCGGCGCCCAGCCGCGCGCGCAGCACCTTGATCTCCTCGTTCAGCCCGCTCATCACGCGCAGCACGTTCGCGTACTCCACGTTCGCTTTGTGCTGACCAGTCCGAAATTGTATGTTAGTACATCATTATAATATTTGTGTCTCAGACTAAACTATTTATGCGACAGCCTAGGAAATCATACAGCAATTAATAGTGATACCTATCTACTCTAATATTATATATAAAGGGGAAAGATTTAATTGTTTATTTGTAATGGATAAACTTAAAAACTTCACAACCAATTTTAAAATATTACGAAATTAATTCCTCTAAAATCCCATGAAGGTATATGACATTTTTCATACTTCAAGAAAAAACTAAATAAAACTGTTAAAAATTTGCTTTTTCTTCCAAATTTCAATGAAATGCAAAACAAATTGGGGTAGTTTTAAACTTTCGCGTTATTTATACATATTATCGGGATTTAACGCAATAAAAAATTTTCACGGTGAACGTCGGCAATAAAGAAACAGGTATGTAGGCCCTATTTACCTAAAAAAATTTTTCATCGCGTAAAGTCTCAATAGTGTATTTAAAAATTGGATTAATATAAAATATTTACTGCAGAGGTATCCTTGTTGAGCGGGTCACTGAATGTGGAATTTGCGTTGTTATCTGACTCCCCGTCAACTGGACTTGGACAATCTTCAAGGCCACTCTCTGTAAAATAAAATGAAAGAGATTAGCATTAAACTAATATGATTATGTAGTGTCCACTTGTTAACTAATGAACTCCTCCCATCCCATAGTGTTAGAAATATTTGCCTTAAATTAATCATTAAAATTCACTAATTCTGGAAATTTAATAAATAGCACTTCATAATTAGTCCTATCATCATCATCATCTTCCTACCCTTATCCCAGTTATTATTTGGGGTCGGCGTAATGTTTTTTATCCATATTACAAAAAGATTTGGCTTATAGTTTTACAACCGGCCGCCTGCCTGACGTCAAACTTCTTTAGGAATTGGTCCCGGCAAATACTTCGCTCGTTTTCGAAATCAGCTACCTTCTTTTGTCTTCTTATCGAATTAAGAGAGATTAGGATCCTGACACAAAATTGTTATTATAATTACAATAAAATTGTAATAAATAAAAATTGTGTATTTTCATTCTAAAGTTGATTGTCGTACTTTCATATATTTATAAACTATATCCCATTTTTTATATAATAATATCACGTAATATTAAAAATGTGTAATAAAAAAAACTAGAAGTGGCTTTATTGGTAACCGTTCAACAAAAACTTTATGTAAGACATGTTATTAAATCATTATAACTACTCGTATTTAACACGCTGTGTATGCCCAAGATAAAATGGCGCATCCTTCCTCTCCCGCGGCTGTCATAAGAGGCGACTATGGGTACTTAATGGTAGAGGGATAGGCCGCAGCTCCCCTTTTAAAACGTCACTAAAGCCTAACTGCGGTTGCCAACCCGTCTGCCAACCGTGACAATTACTGGCAAAATTTCCCTTATGGGAAAGACCTATTCAGCAGTGAACAATTAAAGGCTGATATAATAATAATTATTTCAAATCATCTAATCTAATCAGACACATTTACCACAGGGAGACTTTGTACAAAAGTCGATTGCTTGGGTACCTCTGTCCCATTCGTGTTTCTACCATGAAGCAGTTGTGTGTGCATGGCTATGTTTCAGTTTGAAGGGTGGGATATGGTGTGAATTTACAGGGTTCAGAGGAATAACATCTGAGTCCTCAGGAATGGCAACGCATGGGGGGTATCATGGGCGAAACAGTATACTCTGTGCTCATGTCTATAGGCGACGGTTACCACTTTCCATCAGGTGGGCCATCAGCTTGTTTGCCATTCTAAGTTGTATAAAAAAAAAACAAATGGTTATAATACTTTTCAGGGACAAGCAACAAATTCCTATATATTTCTACTGTATTAAAATTATAATATTGTTTAAACAGCGATTTTTTAACCATACCGTGATTTAGAAGCGGTTGCTTCTCTTCATCTCCCCCAGAATCAGGGTCCCCTGATTTTTCCTCGCCGCTACCACTGCCGCTACTCTCATCTGTCGTTTCTGTAAACATATGAGTAACATTTCACAATGTATAGCATTAAATGAACGTTTGCAAATGGATTTATTTTTTAAATAATAAATTTACATAGACTTATATAAAAGTGTTGAGAAAGGTACATGATCCGCCATTTTGTCAGCCATTAAAAGTATGTATTTTAAGTACTGCATATTCTATGAGCAACAGAACTAAAAATTTAAGTTCAATTGGATGTCATGAACTGGTTCTAATTCAGCTTGCAAGATTTGACCTAAACAAACTAACATATATTGCAAATTAAATGTCTATGTAATTAGAAGAAAGTTGCTTTTTTTTTATACATCTTAAAATTACAAACAAGCTGACGGCCCGCTTGATGGAAAGTGGTAACTGTCGCCTATAAGAATAAACAATACTATGGCTCTAACATAGTTGTTTCAAATTTAAATTATAAATAAGTACATTACTGTTTCTAAAACACATTTATCTATTCAGTTATCTTGGATATAACCTGACATTTTTTAGTCTTATTTTTTGCAATATGATTAAATGTTATAACGTTGTATTAAAAATAACATTAACAGTTCATAAAATTTTAAAAGGGTTCATATTAATTTGGAAATAAACAAAATAAGTTTTAAAAATTACCTTTTAAATCAGAATTATTATAAATGTTATTTTTCTTTAATATCAATTCGAACTCTTTGGCGGACTTCCCTTGCGCTGATATCGCCTTTATTCCAGCCTGAAAAAGTCAATATTTAAAATATACAAGTGTCATGCCTCCATACTTAGTAATTTTATTGCAATATCCCACCCTTTAAAACATAGTGGAATCTCGATTATCCGAATATTTCCGTATCCAAACTTATTCTTCACTCTTTCGCTCACCGATTTAGAAATGATATTGTATATTAATTGGGTGTAATCCATTTTCTTATAGCTCGTAATTTTTTTAAATCGTTTTGTCTAAACGACATATGCAAAACACTAAAAATAAAAAAATAAATAAAAAATTAACAGTTGTTTGATTTGTTTTTGAAATCAATTATCCGGATTCCCGATTATATGGTTTTATTTAATTCGGATAATCGAGATTCTACTGCATATGTAAACACAGTTGTTTGAAACACGAGTGAGACAAAGGAAAGCATACAGACGACTTGTAGACTAAAGTGAATGGTCATCTAACACTTAGGCCGCTATTGTCGTACACAAAGGCCTTTGTGGTGGCTTACTTACTGAACGACAGCTTTAGCTACCCTCAAAAATCAAGAAGCAAAAGACAATTCTTTAAAATACATTAATTTGAAAATTAAAAAATTTAGACTGGCATTCTATCTTCGGCCTATCAGACTGTAGTCAAAAGTCGCCCAATCCAACAAGAAGCCGAAAGAATAAGTGATTTTATTTAAAATTACGTAAATAATAACTCGCAGAGTAAGTCACTCAATTTAGTATGTGTATAAGCAAGTGAATTACCATATTTAGTAGATGCTGTGGCAACAGTAGCTTAATGTAATCGGGCAGCGCTCTCACGGCATCGTCCAGCGAGCCGCCGCACTGCGCCTCTTGTAGCTTGTTACTGTCTGTACTGAGCACCAACATTTTCGCTTCGCCGTTTTGTACAGAATACTGTAAATAAGAAAGAGAAACTTTAAGGGAAAATAATTTTTAAATTTTAAAAAGAAGCACTCTATTGTTTAATTTTAATGTAAAATTTTCTCAAAAACGGCTCAACTTTTTATCAGCTAATTGTTAAATTAGCTGACTCGTTCTTTTATTACAATTCTTTATATTTACGCATACAATATATCTTAACATATTATTTAATAAAGAAAATTAATATTCATGCATTATAAAGATGTTATTCATAATAACATCAAATCTCTCAAACTTATTTTTATAAGACAAAAAAATAAAACAGTGTAATAGTTAAAATAGGTTTGTATATACAAAAAAAGAGTATTGTATCACTCAAGTTGATGATTAAACTATTTATCGAGTCTCAAAAAAAAGTTAATTGTTAAATTAAGTCGCTTTTCTCTTGACGTATTATTTAATAAATAAAATTAATAGCATTTGCAGAATTTATAAGACAAAATAAATATAGAAGTTATGTCCCTAACTATTTATCTATATATTATAAGAGCACTACACTGACCGTGAGTGGTAAATGGTTGCGGACGGCCTGCTCGCGCTCCTCCGCGGCAGTGATAGCGAGCCGCGCAGCGCACATTTTACGCTCGCACCGCGCTGCCAGCTTCTGCAAAATACACAATATAAACAAAACTTTAATATCTATTAGTATGTATTAGGAAGATTAACTCGTGTTAGAAAATGAATAAATAAATATTCCTTATATTTTATTTATTTATTCTTTATTAACAACATTACAAAAAAAAAAGTCTGGTATAAAAGGTGAACTATAAATATTACATTATAAATGTAAAAAAGAAATATGTGACGACTATTTGAATTTGAACAACTGATCGGATTGGAATACTAATAGGTAAACAGTTAAGTATTGTCTAGCTAGTATAATTCAATATAACATAATTTTATCACAGCTACATCATAATAAATTAAAAATAAAATTTGTCAAACTAGTGGAAAATATACATAATCTATAAAATATATATATAATATAATCGATAAAGTGATGCTTCTATTAAATATAAACCATACTGAATGCATGTGACACTCACAATTTACAAGACGACAGTTACACAGACAGACGTTATTTATTGAAAACTGTATTGTACAGTTGTATTAATAATGACAACAAATAATGCTAACATATCACAAAATGCATTGTGATACACATGGTACTCCTTGCACATTGTCATTACAGAGGTATGCAGTAATTACAGAACTATGTTCATGTTCACACATTGTCTCGTTCCAACGTTCGCCTTGCATGCAAGAGAGAGAAAGAGAGAGAGAGAGAGTGCGAGAGGGAGTGAGAGCAATTGAGAGCGAGTGAAAGTGTATGAGTTTTTTTTACAACACAGGGGGCAAACGAGCATGCGGCTCACCTGGTGGTAAGTGACTACCGCCGCCCATGATCACCCATAACACCAACAGCATTGCAGGTGTGCTACCGGCCTTTTAAAAAGGAATATACTCTTTTCTTGAAGGTTATGTTGTCGTATCGGTTTGGAAATACTGCTGCTGGAAGTTGATTCCAAAGAGTGGTGCGTGGAAGAAAGTGCCTCGAAAAACGCACGGTGGAAGACCGCCACTCGTCTAGATGATTGGGATGAAACTTTAGTTTATGGCGGATTGTACGGTGGTGAAAATCAGCAGCAGGTATCAATCCGAACAATTCCTCAGAACACTCCCCATGATAAATTCTGTAGAAGATGCACAAAGATGCAACATCTCTGCGCAGTTTAAGTGGGCCGAGTCGGACAGTAAGGCGTTGACTATCAATAATTCGAGCCGCCCGACTTTGAATGCGGTCTAACGGAAGGAGTTGGTACTGGGGCCTGACTTGAGCTTTATACAATTTCAGGCGGTATTCCGACATGAAATACCGTCTCACTCTATTGAGCACTCCTAACTTTTTGGAAGCTATCTTAGCCTTTTCCTCCAGATGACCGCAAAACTGGACGTCTCAAGATATATCAACGCCCAGAACTCCTAGACTCGACTTTTTATCAAGGGAAGTGCCCTGAAAGTGTGGAGATACGACAAACAGGATCTTTTTTGCAGTGAACGCGCAGACTTGTGTCTTCTTAGGGTTAAATGTATGTGAGTGTGTGTGTGTGTGTGAGAGAGAGAGAGAGAGAGAGTAAAGAGAGTAGAGAGAGCCAGCATACCTGCAGCTCGGCGAGCGCGTTGTTGGCGGCGAGCCGCAGCGCGCAGTTGTGCTGGTGCAGCGCGGTGGCCTCGCGGTTGCGCCGCTCCAGCGATTCCTCCAGCGCCAGCCGCTGCTCGTGCGCCGCGCGAAGGCTCTCCTGCGCCACTTCCTGCAAACATGCAGTCGGGCATGATTCGTCACTTAGCTGGTAATAATACTCAATGAACCATTTAGTCAGTATAAAGAAAAATGCAATTACTAGATTTAATTTTTTAACATATTTTATGAATGTCTTTGTCTATAGGTATTGTTGATATGACTAAACAAAAAATATATATATAAAATTATTCAAATCCAATACCATCAATAAAAAATAATCTCTAAAGATCTTAATTACCTATCAATCTACTTACTGTGAATGATTTTGACTGTCAAACTAATCCTTATTATGGTAAATAGATTGCCGCCTATTATTGATAGATTCTATTAATGGTGCAAAGTCAGGTGCCCCTGGATAGCAAACAGCCCGCAGAGCCTACGGTACAGACAGGACGAGCCCCTTTAGGAAGACCCCACTAACACATTTTGGTCCCCCCACCAACATATTTGTTTAGTGAAGTCCTAGTTTATACCTACGATACTAATGTCTAAATACTTTTAACTTGCTACTTGAGTGAAAGGAAATTGATAATATAAATAAAAGTAATATTCTAAAGCGCTCTGTGTTTACCTGATAGTTCCTTTTATCGCTTAGTAGCTGCGCTACATTTTGCGCGTCTGGCTGCTTGCCGACCGAGAGCATGGTCTCGAGCGTGTGTACGCGCATCAACAGTCTCTGCTCGCCCACGAACAGCTCCCACGACGCCTGCGCCTCCGCACGCGTCCGCTCTACGAACTCGCGTAACGTCCGCAACCGACTCTCCAGCGATGCTTCGCGTTGTATCGCTTCCTGATATATGAAATGTTTATGTATGTAGGTGTAATCAGTTTTAATAGAATCGTAGATTATATAGATAGAGCCTCGAATCTTAAAAACGGGCCAACTTTTAGTCAGCTAATTATTAAATTAACTGACTCGTTTTTTCTATTACTGTTCTATTAGGTATATACTTATGCACACAATGTATCTTGACATGTTTATATTTAATTACTGAATAAATAAAATAAATTTTTGCAGACTAAAAAGGGCAAAAATTATAAAACAAAAAATAGAATTAATAAAGGAATCACTTATAACTTATTTGGTAACTCTATCACGTACACAATTGTATGAAACAATCGAGCCGCTTATTTCGATACATTTGTATGGGGACACTATCTATATAATCTAAGAATAGAACCTATCGAAAAAGTTTTGTTGTAATATATATATATATATATATATATATATATATATATATATATATATATATATATATATATATATATATATATATATATATATATATATATATATATAGTCACGGGTAATAGCTAGTTATAAATAATTTACTTAAAAAGAATTGTTTATAATTTCTACTGTATGTTTTGTAGCGATATCTTCGCCCATTCTGAATCTATTATTATACTTATTTTTTTTAATAGTAGGTGTTTATCCAATGTTAATTTTATTATAAGATTAATCTGCTTTTATTTGAAGTAAAATATTTTACAGTTTCTATTTGAGTAAGGTGAGTCTTCACTCAATCGTTTCGGGATCACATCAAATAGATGTCAAAAATTTTAGAATAATTTACATTAGTAACACAAGCACACTAGAATTGGCACCATTTCTACGATTAATCCTCTTGCAATAAACAAGGCCAAATGACCAAAATAATATTCGTAAAAAGCAAGAGGTACAAAACAAATAATTTACTATGGACCTATATATAAAACTAAAACCATCATTTTTAAACGATGTGCTATTTCTTGCTCTCCTACATAAGGACGTAGCGTAAACATAATATGTTTTTACTTATTATTTAAAAAATAATACATAATAACCTGTATTTATAACTTTAAAACGTAAACAACATCGTCTTAACCACAATTAGAGTCACTAAAGTTTAGTCTATTTCAATAGAATTCACAGAAAAGGTAATCGATTGGAAATATTCAAAAGATTTTTTATTTGTACTGTTAGTTTATCAAACTTTAGCAGACTGTTTAATGGTCGGATAAATTATTATTCATTTGTTTACATTTCGTTTTGTTTTCGTTATATTCTATTGAAACCGACTATATAATAATAAACTAGAGTAACAAACCATAAATTTTACCTGTACAAAGTTGTTTAACTGATAAAGTTCCTTAAGGTGTAATGGTGTGGTCATGGTGGGATTGAAGGAAAGCTTCGCCTCTTTTCCATCCGGGTGGTACAGCTTGAGAAGGGCCACCACGGGAGGAAACGTGTTCTAAAATTAAAAACAAAAATAAATATAAATACAACGCATACATTGTCTTATAATCTTATAATAAATAAAATACTTCAACTGCTAAAAGATGACTAAATCAGTGATAATCCGCTATTTAACATTATGTACGTATTTAACAAATACAAAAGTAAACAAACCATATAAACATAACAATTATAACTACGTAGCAATTAATAAATTACGAAGTAATTATAAATGTTTAAAATACAAAAAGATAAACGCAACCATTTTTAATACCAGAATTGAAGCTTCTAACCGGATAGCACCGACAACAAATTATATTTTAAGGAACCATACGAATTATATTAGCCATATTAACTTCACACTTTGGCTTTATGTGGTTTATAATTTATAAGAGACGGGAATTAACGCGATCTTTCAAGTGAACTATGATATTTTACCTGAGGTATCTCGACCAGGTTATACCGACTGTGGTCACGAGTAGACTGATATAGTGCTGTCATGCATCGAATCATCTAACACGGTCAGTGTTGTGTGCAGAAACCGTCAGTATAGGGACAAAATTTGTGTGGTCAATAAGTGGGTAGTACAAAAAACTTCTGCCTCGGAAACGAAGTAATGACAGCGCTACAATAGTCTACTCGTAACCACGGCCGGTTTAACCTAGTCAAAACGTCAAAATAACTCAGGTCATATTACATTATTTTGTATCATAGTTTACCTAAATGATTGCGTTATTTCTCGTTTCTTATGTAGCATATATTCGCCAAATTCTGAACCGATTGTAATATATTTTTTTTAACAAAAGATTCCAGTATCCATACTAAACTAGTCAAACAAATTTTAATCAAACCTGTTTAAAAAATCAGTGTAGATATTGGGCAATGACAATTTATACACAATAAATTAAATTCAAAACTATAAACATGTAAGTTCAAAATCACAAAAACAATGCATTAGAGTCTTTTTTTACAAGGATGATAATAGAATGGCAACCCCGCCTGCGCTAAGGGCATACGCTGGCAGAGCACCAGTGAGGGATAATAGGTAAGAATAAAAAGGCAGGTCAGTTAGTCCATCGTGATGAATACACTTGGAATTGAGCACAATAGTCTCCAGACCACTAAAAGCTTGACTTGATAGGGTATATTGCTAGCAATGGGGTCGGTACTTTGCATTACAACAACCTCCCCCCCCCCCCCTCCTGTATTACAGGGTTGGAAAAGGTGTTCATAACTGTTCATGTACATAAAATTCGTTAAATTCAAATAAATAGATAATTTGTCTATACCTATCTAAATGAGGAAATATCCTTATCACACTGAATGACCACAAAATTTTAGTTTCAATAAACGCGAATAATAATATATTATTACAAATACAAACTTAAACGTTCATAATATTAATATTGACTCTATAATTTATTAATCCTTGATTCACTTTTAATATTCAACATCCTGCAAAAGTATTTTGTTTTTTTTTTTGCACTAATTCAATTTCATTTAATTGTATTTACTGTCATTATCTTATTAATAGAATAAAAAACTAGGCAATGTTTGTACATGGGAGATATTTAAGAAAAAATTATATAGGTAACGACCCCGTACGAAAGAATGCAGTATAGTACGAACCCCACTCAATGCAGTGACGACACCTAATGTAAATAGGACTCCATTTTTCGCACTTAGCCTCTCATTTGGGCCGTGACGATACCTAATACATTGTAGGGATGCAGGTGGCTCAGGAACGTTCCTACACTGCCATAGACTGCCACAGTCTATGGGGTAGGCCAATGTTCAGCAGTGGACAGGTGATGGCTCAGATTATGATGATGATGAATATGGGGAATTTTAATAGTTTATTCTCCAAAAAATAGAACCTACAGATGTCAAAAAGATATTTTTTACAAATTATCTTTATGCATGTTCCGACATCACACAGAAATCATTCTACCAAATTTGTTGTGATTTTGAAATCTGCACCAAATTTAAGGTCTAACTTTAATACTGGTGTATGTTTTACTTTAATACACCTTCTAGAAGTAGCCCATTTCATGGTTTTTCTACTTATGAAATCCATGTGTACGAAGTAGCGGACAAAAAGCTAGTCAAAACATAAAAGAATATAAATAAATATTTTAAAAATATTTTCATCAAACAAAGCAAGCTTTGTTTCTTAACAAACATATCGTAAGTTAGGTTGGATTTTGTTTGTATATAAAAATTATTCAAAGTGTGGTCGGGTTTCTCCTAATGTGGAATAGCTACTTTTATTTTGAGTCTTGATAAACAAATTGTTAGTAACGAAGACTAGAGGACTCGTTGCATTTTCAATTGCGTCCATGTGGAGGTTGAACAGTAGTTGGACGTGATAGGAACTATAAATTATGCAAATGTGTGACGACAAAATACAAAAATACAGTACAAATACAGAGGTTTTAGATGCAGTGAAATGGGAGAATTAAATCCACAATTAAGACAGCATTATAATGCAAAGCAAATCAATGAAATCTTAGGGGGGTCGATTCTGAAATACCATTATCTATCACTAGCTATAAAACTAGAATTTCAGTTTAATATAAAAGCGAAAATACATATTATTGACTTTAAATTTAAATAGTCCTCGGAGATCTGTAATTTCATTAAAATACCTAATAAAAACTTAAATTTTAGAAGTTTAGGAAATACAAGCCTTGAACTTAGTGCAGGAATTGCTGGTAAATCGATTTCAAGCCACTTTTTAACGTCATGCGGACGAAGTCGTAGGGACAGTTAGTTTATAGCAACGATTACAATAAATTTTGTTTTGTAATCTGTGCTGTCTATTTTACAATACAGGCATGGTCTAAATATCAAACAGTAAGTGATTTGCCTATTATACCTTACACTAATTGGACACATTGGACGTTGGAAAAATTTAATTAGAAAACGGGTTTAAATACAAATATCAAATAATTTATATTACTTTACCACAATTTCTGAAGACATATGATGGACTGAAGTTTGAGGCTGCGAGTAAAAAAACTCAAATATAAGTATAAATATATTTAAAAAAAAATCTCGATATTTGATAATTAAAAAAAAATATATAAATATATATATATATATATATATATATATATTGCAATAAATGTACATAACAATTGCGTTAAATTAATTTATTATTGATTACTTATAACACTCATTTATATTATTTAGCATATTTAGTTAGATTTTTTGGTATTTTTCAGGTCGCGTCACAGCTACTCATGGTTAAGGATCACGAATTGATCCCGAAACTTGTCGAGCTTTCTCTACTAATTACAGGTTAATTAAACTGGTAGTTATTAAATTAAAGTATAATGTGTGCTTACGAAACTATTAACAATAAAAATTTTTAGCAATATCTAAAGTAAGAAAAGGAAATTGGCATAAATGAAAAAAAAAAAACATTGATAACTAGGTAGAAATCAACTTTCGTATTAATAAGTGAATATCCACGTGAAATTTTCTCCAATAAACATTTCTGATAGACATATAGACAGTAAAAGATATTTTATAAGTCGTTCATAAGTATCAACCAATATGTATACACTGAAACAGAACTTATGTGTTTTGAATAAATAACTTATGAACACAAAATAGATCAAGGTGAGTGGTATTTACGACATAGGCTGACATCTCATAGTCACATAATAATACCCTTATACTCTAAAACGTCAATGTTTCACACACAGTACGACTTAAAATGTGTATGATATAATTCTGCCAACTAAAATACAAACTTTCTTAGGTCTTAGTGATAGTTCGCAGCAAATTACAAAAAATGTACACAAAACCTTATATCTAATCATTATGCATCATTTGTAACTGAGAACTATTTTATCTAACTTTTTATAGTCAAAAATATTACAAAAATGTCTACCTTTTCTGAATTGCTCGCATTCTCAACAACAGGTATGCCGAATTGGACGACGTCACCGGAAAACACTTCGTGGGGCTCTTGCTCTTTGGATATGGAGCACCGGTTATTGTTGATAAACGTGCCGTTGCTGCTCTGATTGTCCTGCAAACAAACAAACAAATGTCATATGGAATGTCTACAGTATGCGATAACAATAATATACTGTTCCTATTCAATATAGAATAACCTCACAATACATAATATTCGTAGTACTCTGTGAAATAGATTTTAAAGGTGGAGTCAAACCAGGTAACCGAATCTTTGTTTTCTCTTATCTGATGTGCAATCTAAGACAATTCTTTCGTAAAGTACATTCCGGAACAATTTTATAATTTTAAGCGTTGTTCTTGTATTATTCTTTAAGTGTGTACCTGAAACTACATTTTGTATTTTATTATTTTAATCTAGCTTCACCATTAAAGAACCTCTAAAATAGACAATTAAAAAAATGAATAAGTAAAAAAAAAAGAAAATCGAACACGAATTTAGGAATAGTAAATTTAGGATTAATATATAATTAAAAGCTGTTCGTTGTAAGAGAGCGAGTGAACCGATTTGACTAACATGTTATTAATGTTCATAATAGATTCAAGTTTTTACAAATTACAATTGGGACAGGATAACATCTGTCACAGTTAATTCTGCATAAAAAAACAAGCTGACTACAAACTAGCTTACATACTTGTCAATACACATCCAAAATTAATCACATTAATTGAAAAATGTTGTACAGATGTTCATGTAATATTGTAGGTGCTCTCTGCGAAACAATTTCCCAAAAATTCCAAGAGAAGAAAGAAACATTAACAGGTTGGTACCACAGACACCGTTATGATTTAAGACACAAAAAAGGTACTTAGTACTTGACAAAATAAATACAAAAACCTTACAAAAATAGAATTGACCAAAAGAAACACAAAAACAAATCGGTGACAGTTAGCGAAAATATCATATAGCAAATATTTTTTGTATGTAATTATAAATCCTTGCCACAAGTTACAACTAGTCTGGAATGTAAGTTGTGTTGCCGCACAAAACAAGATTCGGAGCCAGTTTATAAAATTAACATAACTTTGTGGATGTATCATAAGATAGATTTTGGTAATCACCATATTGATCAAGCTATAAATACGTATTTTATAATGACTTATCGTTCTTAATTTACAATATTTTATGCATTTATTCTATTAAATCTAAACATCGATAAAGAGTACCTATTCTAACTAAACAATATTAAATTTTATAAGGTAAGTACATAAAACGCATGATTAATCATACAATGAACAATATAACCGATAAGAAAAGTCAACAGTCTAGTAATTTTATTGATGCGTAATAATCTTTATAATACAATGGACACAAATAGTTGTAAAAAAAATCGCAGTATAGGTGACGAGCGGTTAACACTAGGCTCTTAGCACCGATCTATTAATTTGCCAGAAGGTGCTCAGTTTAAAGGTGAAACACGTGTCACAAAACGTCTGTTGACGAAATGGTAATCGGAGATTGTGGCTAATATGGTAGGTTGTTGTAACTTTTGGTAATAATAATAGTAGTCAATCTTCAAATGTTCGCAGTCGTACATATACCAGTAGTAACGGAATTAAACAAAAGAATTCTAATCAAACCAGTGATTTTCAAAAAAATACTATAATATAGCAAAACTGAATGAAATATTGTTTTAAGTGTGAAAGTTGGACGAAGTAATGTACCTATATAGTATAATTATAACCTATTGGTTGTCCAAGTTTTTGTTTATTATTTAATATTAATTATAAATTAATATAATTTTTATAAGCTATCGTTTCTCACTAAATAGAACACACTTTATTAAGACTTCTATTTCACTGAAGACAGTAAAGTATTTTTGCTCGACAAAAGTAATTTTTCAAGATATTAATACAATACAAAAACTAAAATCGCGTTAAAAAGTAATAACGTTACATAAAAAAATTTAATGATATTTTTGTACATTATACAATTTTAAATATATTTTTTTAACAGTCTAAAAATAAAATAGTAATAGATACGTTTATAGCTAGTAAAAAACGCAGGAAAAATAACGTTCAAAGTGATCCTAAAAATACAATAAATCTTACGATTGTGATTTATCAGTTTGAAATTAGGAACTAGATTGATACCCTTCCAATAAAAGATCAAAACCACGTAGTAACTATTATATCATCTGTGATTAAACATAGTCGATCCGAATTCATAAGGATTTACGAGTAGAGTACATTGTTAATGTTACTTGAATAGAAAATGCTAATAGCAGACGCCAGACATTAGGTATTCTGTAGTAACGCATTCTTACTGTGGTTTAAATTAAACAACGAACAGATTTAAATATTTTTTTTGTCTTCGTTATTTAAATGAATATATAAATATATACACATGGGCGCCGGTAGCAGAGTGTAAGACGGTTGCGCCTGCACCCTCCTGTCGGGAAATAAAATACATAGAAAAAATTTATAGCTTTTTTTTAATAAGTTACTGCTTGAATATATTTCAAATCCAAATTTGTTAAAAAAACATACATGTACAAATATTTATATTTTATTAATATCAGTGTGCAAATACAAATGAAAATAATCCCAACGGCGTCTGTGGGAATAATTTTAAATACATTTTCAATTTCGCGTGACATAAAAAATTCAAAACGTTCACTTTTTAATCGGTTGCAAAAAGGAAACTAAATGACACAGTAACACCTTATATAAGAATTAGGTATGACATGACGAGAAAAGGCCCAATAACATCCCACCACAGTATGAATGGACAATTAGCTGAGATTCATTGCCTAATTCTCCTTATTTTTCGTGCGAAAGTTTGTTGACAGCATTGAAATAGTGGTCTCGAAAAAGATAAAAATCATTAAGTATGAGTCGTATATGTGTGGCATGTCACATATACTATTTTACGCGACTTCACCCGTCGTGATGGACACTCACGTTATAATTCTATATATGACGTAACTTGTGACTGTAATTTTTTAAGCAGTAAATAGATAGATCACTCAGTATAGTGTAGATCTATTACTTTTCATATAATTTTAAAAAATTCAAGTAATAAAACTGGTCAGGTGTGAGTCGAACTTACACGCCGAGGGTCCGTACACCGATCGCTAAGAAATAAAATTACCTTTAATGCACACTTCTACTTGTACGAAATAGACACCTAATAGTTGTTATTATTGATATTTCATTTTGTATTTTTTTTTTTATTTTAGTTCATAATTTTGATTAAAAACCGGACCGCATAGTTAAGTCTATTTTTGTAGATATTTTGATAATTACCTACTCAAAAAACGGTAGTAAATAGAAACATCGTTTTATTTTTTCTGTAATATTACATGTTATATGTATTTTTATAAACTGTATTTCGATTTTTTGGCTTCACAAACTTCGGAGATGGAATATTTTTTCTGACACTTTCGATCAAGCATAAATTTAAACTAAGTAGTATAAAAATCAGATATGTACTTTTGTAAACTGTATTTCAGATTTTTTGACTTTACAAACTTCGAACTATTAGCTCTATTTTGAAATTATGGCTACCCCCTTTTAGATCCTTAATAAAAAAATAAAAAATTGTTTAATTATTTCTTCGCAATATATGTGGACCAACAATATATAAAACTATTCGAAATTGCAAATCGATAGTTGTATCTATATATCAGATATAGAGCTGTGACAGCACACGCACAGAGCTTTGCACCTTTTTGATATAGGAGTCTTAAAAAATAGTGACTTAGATGGACTAAGTTTTTTTTAAGTATGTATAAGCACGACAGAAGTTGGAACGCTTAATAAGTGAAACTGCTTATTAATTTTTCAAAGATGGCTATAACAAATATGGATAGGCACTTTTATTGGAAATCAGAGCAATCGTTAGCCTAAAAAACGACATTCATACCAATTAATCCGCTGCTTGTATCCGATACGAATGAATCTATGCATATAAATAGTATTATAACACCCATCCATTATGGCTTAGAGCATTCATACCAAAGTCTGACAACATATTCATTATCCACCAATTAACAATAACGAGCAATTTTCAATATTTCAAACTTTATAAGCGAGATACCTACATTTTTTATTATACAACTTAGAATGGCAAACAAGCTGATGGCCCACCTGATGGAAAGTGGTAACCGTCGCCTATAGACATGAGCAGTACCATGGACATAACAAAATATACTGTTTTACCCATGATACCCCCCATGCGTTGTCATTCCTGAGGACTCAGGTGTTATTCCTCCGTACTCAGTAAATTCACGCCATATCCCACCCTTCAAACCGAAACACAGGCATGCAAACACAACTGCTTTACGATTGAAACACGAATGGGACAGAGGTACCCAAGCAATCGACTTTTGTACAGAGTCTCCCTCTGGTAACATTATACTTAAGATACGAGTTAATAAAAAATCCTATTGTTCATTTATTATTTCTTACTGCACCGGTACCACTTCTACTATTATAAGTGCGGAAGCTTTTGAGGATAGATGCATGTTTGTTACTCTTTCTTATATCTTTGTATCAGATTTGAATCTTTGACAAACAGATTATATATATCCTATCTAAACACAGGATACGTTATACGCTAATTCATATTTCACACACGAGCAAAATATTATTAATGTCAAAAATCGAAACTCAAATGTAATTTGAAAAAACGCAGCCAAATACAAAAATTAAAAATCTCTTATCACTATATTATTAGCAGATTAAATATGGACGTAGTAATTACACATGAGCGATAAACTAGGAATAAGGATACATTAAAAACGACCTTAGGCCCAAAGCAACAATTCGAAACGCATACCAAAGAAACAACCTCCAAATGCGGAGAAGCTGTTTAGTAAACGGAATTAGCATGAGACAATCAGACAACAGAAGCGTACGCTCATAGAAATCGACTGTGGGCGGAAGCGGTGAGAGCCGAGTTGCCGATCTGGGTTCATTCTAGGCCTTAACACGTAACCAGTCCAAGGTTCTTTCATAATTTTAAATGTTTGACGAGTTGATTGTTTGTACGTAACGTGAGTTTAGTGACGACACCGTGAATGAACTATGACGAGTTTAGAAAATTGTAAAACAAGACAACATGAAAGATACGCGTGTGGGTCGCAAAAAATATATTTTGAGTTGCTTTGTACATTATATAGACAGAAACGAGTAATAATATGTTAAAATGAAATGTTAAAATGTTTCTTTAAGACGACTGTGTCAGATATTGTTAGTATATTTGTAAAATTAATATTATTCGTGTACATTAAAATTATATCTAATTAATTGACTTGAACGAACCGACAGACCATTTGATGGGAAACAGCTATCATACTTACTATTAATATAAATGTGATAATTGAATTGTGTCCCACAAAAAAAAATAACTTCAATTATGGTAAAACGAGTTATTTTGTTTTAAAAACTAAACTGCTGAACCGATTTTAATAAAAATTTCTATAGGACCATTTTGTAAGCATATCCTTGCAGATACAAAAAAAACTTTTCCAAATTGGTTTACAACTGGCAGTTATGAGGTAACAAACATAAAAAGATATACAACCAAATTGAGAACCTCCTTTTTTTTGATTTCGATAGAAAATGAATTTATTTGTTACCTTGACAGATATCAACATAGACTTCATTTCATTCTCGTCAATGAATATGTTTTAGTCACACAGATCAAAAGCAACAGGAGAGTCTATGAGTTGCAAGCTTTTTTAAAAGTGTCGTATTTATGAAGTGCAACATGTTTGAAGAATAATTTAAGATTAAAATAATTTAAGTCGGTTTTTTTGTGGAACACAACAAAAAAACTACTTTAATCGTGGCAAAATCAAACACATTGATTAAAAAAATCCAGATATTTGGATTTAAATAATAAATTACTGAACCAATCTTAATAAAATTTCTATGAGATTCATCTGAAAGTATATCCTTTCAGATAGATATAGATAATAATACAAATTTCAAATCGATTTATATCGGACAAAGTTATAAGATAACAAACATAAAAAAACACCACCAAATTGAGAACTTTCTCCTTTTTTGAAATCGATTAAAAAATTACCGTGATACAAAATATTTCTATAAACAAAGCTTCAACAAGATATTAGACCCTACTATCTCGCGCAGACCTAATTGCACATTTGAAACTCCTTCTAGTGTCTTCTTCTCATTTGCATTCCTCGAAACTAATTTCATTACATTTATATTAGTACTTGGAAGTATGATATTTCGCTATCAACAGAGAGTACTTACCACGAGGTAAAAGTGGCCTTTATCATAGTACAGCGTAGCGTGATGCCGCGAGAGCACCCGGCATTCAAATATGGTATTCGTTGGGCTTGGAGTCGCGCGGTAAACGTTCCGGCCGATCTGAAATACAATGGAATTATTTTTAATTTGAAATTTTGTAAAATATATTATATTTCAAACATTATTCTAATCATAGGTAAAACTAATAACAACATATTTTCGTTATTTTGTTATTACATTTATAAATATAAGAATAACAAATTGAAACCTGTTAACAGTATAATCTCATTAAAAACATACATTTAAAATGAGAGCCAAGTTCAATATTACGAATTATGCCATTTCGATTCCGCCATATTAAAAAATTGAGATCTATATGGGTCCTAAGTTCTGTATAGAAAAATCTTAAACTTACTAGTTACAAAAAGTGCAACATTATAAAATGAATTTACATAACAATTTCTTGTTTCTTGGTACTACTACCATGTTTGGTACTTAATAGGATTTTATCAATAAACCAAATGCTAGAAAAGCAATGTATGTATTATAACAACCCAACAGTATGAGTACAGTATAAACAGGACGTACACTAACATGCACATGACTTAATGAAGATAAGTTGATTAGACAAATACAATAAAGCCTGTACATAAAAACTAGACTTGGCTAATTTTTCAAGCTCAAGCTCAATTCAATTCAAGCAAAATTCAATTTTGATAAGCCAAATCTTGAGCTTGAATTATATTTATATCAAAAATGATATAAATATGCATTGTTTAAATAATTGTCTGTTAAAATTTAAAAATGTATAATACCAAGAAATAATAAATTGTTATATAAATTCATTTTATAATATTGCACATTCTTGTAATTTTAAAGATTTTCTACACAGAACTTGGCATCCATATAGACCTCAATTCTTTTTACTGCAGAGTCAAAATGACACATTCGTAATATTGAATTTGGCTCTCATTTCACATTTATGTTTTTGATGAGATACCATTAATTTTTGTACAGAAATTATTAGTATTCATCATTAATACATTGATATTTGCAAAAATACTTAATTTTTTTACTTTTACGCTATATTCGTTATTTTGTTTGTTATTAATTTTGTTTTTCAGCTTATTTTCTATATTTTTTGTACCTTCGAAATATTCGTGAATTCGTTTCCATTCATTATTTTTAATTTTTCTTACGCGTTTTCTGTTTATTTTTAATTTGACCAAGTCGGTGAGATAGAATATATATGTGACAATATATTAACTCATTAGATATCAACAACTATTTGAGCAACATTTATGATATTATGGATTCTAAACAAACTAAGGGTCTTTAATAACTGTGACAAATTTCATGTATATAGGTTATATAAGTTTCGACTTATGAGGAGGTCAATATATATATAATTTAATATTACACTCAGCTGCTACGTCGTCAGTTTTTTTTTTTAACTTGGCTGGACACGCTGCCGCATGTCTAGATATAAATAGCGAAACAAAACTACACGGGGTTTTGTGATTCACATAAAAAAAAATGGTTCTACGGCAATTACTAGTAATGTAGTATTTTTTTTTTAAATAGAATTTTATAATAGAGCTACCAAACTGCAATCCTGCTGCTTTTGTAAGTCGCCAATCAGGTATAACAATGATAATAACATTTATATGTTGTTTTTTTTTCATTTAAGTCTATAGGTAACTCTTGCTATGATTATATAATGAAATTATATGTAGCTGAATATATTTCACTGAATATGGTTAAATTACTCATAGTCATACTCATACAAAAAAAATATGAATAATTAAAATAAAAAAAAACTGAATTATTCAACAATTTACGATGTAACAAATAACAAAACACGTATGTTTCAGATAATGCTGTTACAGAGATACTCAAAGTATGTATCCTGGCTCTTTGAGCACTATGAAGGAAGAGCCATGAAGAGTTAACAAGGGCACGAAGCGGCAGTACAGACCAATCTGGTTTTCACAAAACAGGAATTTTCTTTTCTCTAGAAACTAGATTTACTTATAATCGTAATAAACAATGCACATTTTATTCACAAAAGATAATTTAAAAATAATTATTCGTATTACGATAGTTATAAGGGACATTTGTACAATATTTTTTACTACTTAGAATGGCAAAAAAATCATTGTGCAATGCAAAGCAATTAGCATCATATACGCCCTGAGTGTAGAAAAAAATTGGCAATTAGGAGAAACCTGCAGTCCTGAGAAAAATAATTGAAAAACTTTTCGACTTACATAGCTATGTAAGCCATACATTGTGATTGTTTTCATTTTAGCATTTAGTATTGTACAGATTTTAACTATTAAAATACCTGTTAATGTGCCGTGAATTGAAAAAAGTTTGGGAACCCCTGTGCCCTTGCATAATACCATTGTTGTCGAGTCAAATCACGTTTACATTACTGCGATAATTACTCTAACGCACGCACTCGTTCGTTCACTATTGACTCACTACTCAGTGGAAGCAATAACTATTTTGCAAAACCATGTGGCAACATGTATTAATGCTATCGATAGAATTAATCATCAACTTCTCTAGTAGTATTTAATTTGACAAATTGATGGTACTTTACTCAATTACCTAATAGAAAAATATTACTTTAAAGAACAAATTGATCCCACAGGATCCGAACCTGCATTATTCAGCTATCTGAGTACATTCTTCCCAATCCCATCAATAAAGAAAGTTTTACGCATTTAATACTGTTACTAAAAGCAAAGTCAACATTTTAAGTAATTTCAAAAATAAAATCACTGTTAGTTAATCAAATTATAATTTAAAAAATTGTTCTTTAAAAATTTTTAAATGGAATAATATATACATTTAAAAATAAAAATAAAAAATAATTATAATAAAGCACCCTGACTAATACAACTGTCAAAATAAGTTAAATAGTACCTAAATATTGTTTTTATTTATCCCAGTTAAAAAAAGAGCAAAATATGAGTGTATGGTAAATGCGAGGCTCTTTTAAAACAGCCTATTTGCAACACAAACAAAAAAAAGTAAAATGGCCAAGCATTTAATAACTAGATTATTAATAATTAGTTATTAGTTAAGTTATTGGAGAGTTTAAACTCTCCAATAAAAAGGATGAATTTGTAGCCCTCAGTACGAAATGTGGAGGAAAACACATGTTGGAAGGTATTAAAGAAGGCCTATATTCAGCAGTGGATAGATACAGGTTGCAATGATAAATCATTATTTATTAATAATTATTAAAATTAAAAGATTATTATTAATCTGTAAAATAGACTAATATTTTTATTGTTATCTCGAAAATATAGTTACAGTAGAGCACTTATTATAAACACCGTTTATAGTAACACTATTTATTAAAATTAAAAATTAGTTATTTACTTGCCTGTTCATATTAATTTTGTTACAACTAAATTCACCATTTTCTATTTGCTTTATTCTTTGAAGAAAAAAATGAAACAATAGTCAATACTGGTATGTAGTTACTAATAAATAACCAAACCTTACAATTATTTGCTTATGATATACCTCGATATTCCTATCATAGAACAATGTATAATTATACCGCGCCCAAGTATCTGTCTCACGAGTAATTTACCAATCTTAAAACCTGAATTATTAATCTTAAAGGCACCCTTCGTATATGATAAGGGAACTTTGAGCACAATAATATACCCACAAAGTAGCGACAAAGTTTGAAAGGTAATTATAGCATTGTACTATTAATATAGTTATGAAATTATAGCATACCTATTGTATTAAAAATCCATTGTGAACTGAGTATAGTTAAGTACTGTAGTGTAGTAACCATTATAGTAAGTGTTTATAATAAGTGCTCTACTGTAACTATCTTTTGGCGATAACAAAAAAAAATAATCTATTTTACAGATTAATAATAATCTTTGATATAACTATTTAGTATGAATATGTATCAGTTTCACAATGAAGAAGAAACGCCGAAGATCTTAATATGTGACTGTAGCACACTCATATATAAACAATATATCTGCTTTAAAAAATACACATATCTTAAGGAGATGAAAAACATCACTACCTAGAATATCTTAAAATTGCTATCACTGATATGAGTTAGCAGCAAACTTTAAAGAAAGGGGTCGTAATGTCACAGGTTTTTCGACTTGACAAAGCCTATTTCTCAATAATAATAATGTATCAGTTTGAACAGAAGATATTACACATAGCCTTTTTAGTAACAATAGGAGCTGGTTAAACCACTTAAAGATACCACGTAAATAGTAGCCAACTATTTGTTTAATGGACACGAGTCAATATGAAAAAAATCACAATTTGTCTAGTCATCTAGTACGAATCACGTCTAACAACAAAGTTAGCAATCGGTAGGAATATAGTTTCCTGTTCAACCATAAAAAACTGATAGGAACGCACTTCCGGCACTAGTACGCGCAACAGATGGGTGAACAGAAATAGCATAAATTAATCTCATTAAATTTAATTGCCAGTGCACAATTGTGACCGTCTCAAGCACCTCGGGTCAGGCTGAGTCACGCATGTACGCACCCTGGCCCGACATGTACTATGGTGCACGCCTGGATTGCATACAAAGTATCGCAGTGTGAGCATCAGACGCAATTTAAATGTCGCCAGAGAATAATATACACTTTATATGCAATAAGTATGTATATTCAAGGAGAAAAGGGATTATTAGTAATGAGGTCTAATAGCCCTATTGCTAGCAATATACCCCTTTCAGGTCGACCTCCACGCGGTGACCCTGGAAACCATCATGGCTAATTCTTGTCGAATTCATCATGGTGACCTGCACTCATTCTCACCTATCATCTACTGGTGCCTGGTCGATTCCATTTTCATTCATTATCACCCATTAAAAAAAACAATATGTATATTCAAAATGTATTGAACTAACTAAACCCAAATAATAATCCAATAAAATGTATGAAATACCATTAGAATTTGTTATAAATAAACAAATAGGTATTAATTAATAATATACCAGAGATTTTGTGCAAAATTCGTCCGCTTGAACACCTTTGTTCCACCCGTGTTTCTACCATGAATCTGATATGCATGCATGACTGGTTTTCAGTGTGAAATATGGCAGTAAAATTACAGGGTACAAAGGCGTTACACCATAGTCAGTGGAAATGACAACAGGTGAAAAGGTAAAAAAAATATGTAAGCTTGTTTGGCATTCCAAATTGCATAAAAAAAAAAAATCTTTTAATGTATGGATAACATAAATTATAAAAGTAATAGAAGCAAGAGGAGTAGGTACCTATATAGAGAAACTGGTTTTTTATGCAACTAGGAATAGCACAGCAAAATGTTGACAGACAACCCGTGTTGTAAAAAAGTAATCTAACGGTATGTTACCCTTTTTCAAATTCAAATCATCTTTATTCAAATAGGTTTGTTTACAAGCATTTTTATATTGTATTTTTTATTAATCTACTGTAGCATCTAGAATATTGTTATATGCTCAGAAGAAACCTTAACAAACTCTTTTAAATCTTTGTTCACATTTTATTTAGTATATATAAATATACTGTCTAAAATTACATAGGCATTGCTTATGCATGATCGACTAATGCCATGCTATGTTTGTCATTCAAATAATCATTTAATGTGTAATAAATATGCTTTCATTCCTACTGATATAAACAGCACAATGGATATTACACAGTATTTTTTATGCAACTTAGAATGGAAAACAAGCTGACGGCCCATAGCTCTGATGGAAAGTGATAACCGTCGCCTATAGACATGAGCAATACCATGGACATAACAGAATTTACTGTTTCGCCCATGATACCCCCATGCATTGCCATTCCTAAGGAGTCAGGTGTTATTCCTCTGTGCTGCTGTACTGAAACACAGCCATGCAAACACAATTGTTTTACAGTAGAAACAAGAATGGGGCAGAAGTGCCCAAGCAAATGACTTTCGTACAAAGTCTCCCTCTGGTAAAGATTTAATGTAATATAAATTGGACTCTCTTTTCTGTGATTAGACTCTTATTTGGACCATTGTGCATATGAGTTATGGCTAGCCCAGCTTCGCTCAAAAGCACAGAACCTTCCTAGAATTTTCACAGGCTTCATGGAGAGACCTCACCATTCCAACTATTTCTAAACATTGAAAGGCCACAGCTTTACATTACAGGATTATGTGAACAGCTGTTTCTTCGGCGTTAAGAGAACCTCAACATAGAGGCTGTCTGTGGCTCCTATTGTGTATGTTTGTTTAATAGGCAATAGCCCGTTATTGTATCTATGATTATTATAAGTGGATATCACAGAATATCCTATAATATTAATTACTTAATTAATTTTTTTTCTAATATTAACTTTATTGTTCTTTTTTATCTCCTACTATTAATTATTGTTTTTTATTTTTATTTTCGGATTATGTAATTTTAGTGGAATTTTGTTTAATTATTATTTAAACACATATCAGTTGGGGGCCTGGTGATCTGCACTATAGGTCTTAACCTATTACAGACACCAGCTCCTCACAGCAGAGTTCCATATTATTTTTATTTTATTTTATCCTAAATACCTATGTGTAAATTTAAGGAGACATTAATAAAAATATTATTATTATTATTATATAAGTTTCACAGCACTTTTTATGTATTGCCATTTCTAGTAAGGTACACTATGGTATTTTGTCATATCCCACTCATCAAACCAATACACAGCCATACAAGGACAATTATTTGATGGCAGCAACTGGAACAGAGATACCAATGTGGGGATAACTTTGTACAAATTCTCCCTCTAATCTGTTATAAAATATTAAAAAGTCTTCTTCTTCCTACCCATATCCCAATTATTATATGGGGTTGGCGTAATATATTTTTATCCATATCACAAAAAGATTTGGCTTAGTTTTAAGACCAGCTGCCTGCCTGATGTCAACCCTATTTGGGAATGCATTTATAATTTCCACTACCTACAGTATAGAGGAAAGAATTGAGGAAAAAAGGAAGAGAATGTCGGCAATGCTTAAAGGAAATTGGTAAACAAGAAATTGGTGAATAAGGGACTTATGTGGGAAAGTAAAAGGGAGGGGGGACACTGCAATTGTGGAAAGGACTGGGACACTGCAGCAGCTCGGAAGGCCGGGATCGTATACCTATATGCCCTTATTCTAGAATTGGACAGATTTCTAGAGAACACCTCTGATGCTAAATAGTGAAAAGTATACTTTAATATTAAAAAGAGGCCTCATGAGACTGATGTATTGTTATGTTAAAATTGTTCAAGTATATCCTCTTCAAAATGATAGATATTGATATTTTATGATAATGTCACACAAAGATTACTATCAAAACAATATTGATAAGAGTATGTATATATTTACCTTGCTTTATAGTGACTGAAGAGGTGAATTGACAGTTCATTGCTATGTAAATAGGAACTTGTAATTGGAAAAGCAAAAAACCGGTTTTGTTAAAACAGTAACTTCATACCCATGCTTCAATTTTAATGTCAAAGCCAGATATGAAAGAAAAAATATTATCATACTAAAGTGAATAGTTACTATAAAGGTACTATTTACACACTTCTATCATAGATACCAAATTAATATCTTTTACTAAACAATCAAATGTAAATGTTTTGGTAATATAAACCATAAAAAACATATATGTAAGAATTTGCCCAAATTTTATAAATACAAAGGTGATCCTTATTTTTTTTTTTCAAATATTTTATATTCATTTAATAAAGCATGTCAAATGCATTAGAGGTTTACACATGAAAATATTCTTGAAATTCATGTTGTGAAACTAGTTACATGTAAAATGACTAGTACATGTAAATAATAACAATGTAAATTGACCAAAATTAAAATTAAAATGTTTATATTGAACATTTAACAAATTAGGTACTTCAAATTCTTTATTTTTAAATTGTTGTTAATAATATGATCATAAGCACAATTTATTTAAATTTTCTTTTACACACAATTTATAACAATAAATTGAACTTTAAAATAATGTATTAGTTAAGTAGGCATGTAAAATAATAATAGTAAAAACAAATTATTTACAGAAGATTGTTCCAATTTATACCTAGTTGAAAGTTATTGTACCTAAAAGAATCAAACAAGAATCAGAGTTTATCTGTTGATATCATAATGTATATAAATTACCATAAGATCAGTTTGTGGCATTAAATAAGGACAAGAAGGTATTGCTATTTTCAGATATTGTTATTAAAACGAAATTTGAGTACTGAAAATAAGTTTAAATTTATATATTTAACAAAAAATAAAACAAAAAATATGTATAAAAATTATTGAACAGAAAATTATTTATGCATATTTGATGCCCACCAAGAAGCAGTTAAAGATAGACACATTGCTAATAAAGGTTTATTATTAATTAGGCAAATTTAGAAAATGAACTTTTTTAACTCTGTTAATTTTAAGTTTTCTGGATAGCGCACTCAACTATTAGTTAATTGATCTCATAGTATAATATCTATATATACTTGGCTTTCAAACTACAATCAGTTCTTACACTTGAAATATGTAGGTAAATTACTTTCTCAAAATTAGTTATTGAGAAACAAGGCAGACAAAACATAATAATGTCTATTGGACAATCCATATTAGTAGGATTCCCTGTTATAAATAAAACTACTTGGTTTATTTTTTTGTTACCACTTGGTGCCTTTATAGCTTAACCAGTCACATAAAATTTAATATACATTTAAGATATATAAAGACATAAGCTGCTATTTATCCTAGTTAATTAAAATATTTGTCATGTGAACAAAGTTATGAATGAAAACTAGTAATTCATACCTTTTTATTCTAGCTATTTTGCACTGTTAATTTAATAAAAAATATATATCAAGATTGTTTTATGGTATATGTGAAGTATCTATAAAAATCAGATTACAGGATATTGTTTTATAGTCAGTGATTAGGTAGCATTTTTATTACTATTACACAAAATATCCAAATCTTATATGAGCTCAATTTTAATGAATTTCCAAAACAGTTACCGAATATACAACATAACTCACATCCTCTCTTAATTGTAGTGAGCTGACGAACAACTAAATTCTAGAGATTTTTTACATAAAAATATCCTTTTATTAAGAACAAATATTTATTTATTAAAACTTATTCATAACAATTAAAATTGTAAACATTCAAAATATTATTCCTGAATGGGTATTATTTGCTAATTTGCAAAAGTGGTAAGATAGTGGTAAATATGGCATCTTACCTTCACTGGCTGTTCCAAAGTTACGCGCCTCTCCTCAAACGGCAACGAATTTGAATGGGGAATGAAAATTGCTCTGGGTACCCCCACATCTTGGTTATTAGGTGGCTCTGGCCCAGGGGTCCAGTTATAATCCATGTTCTTGATAGTGTTGTTCATTTGAGGTTTGACCTTCTTACTCTTTGCTATCACCATCGCACACACTGCCCCCGGGAGTCAGTGCACATACCTCGTATAAGAAAGAACGAGCGGCACATAGATGATCGAATTAGTCTATTCACTTGTAGGTGAAAGGTGAACACAATTCACTGCCATCTTGAGGGGCAAACATTATTATTTCTAAAGACGATTATGTGTTGTAGATATCCCAACGCTTATGCAAACGCAAACACCATTATTTATGAAACTTGATTCCTTTCGTCTACGTATCGTATCGACAATTATAAAATATCAAAATTTGGAAGAAATATATCAAAACCTAATATCTAATATTTAAGACTTCGAGTAAACGAAATTATCAATTTACAATTGCCCAAAATATATTAGATTAAATTATATTTAGGGCGTTAATTGAAATAATCATCGGAGGAACTTACGAAATGGGCGCAAGAATCGGACATTTGTTTTGTTGAATAGGTATGTCTCGTTGTTCATCTGTTAAATGGGTATTTTATTAGGTACATTAAATAAGAATAAATACTGCCACAGTAAAAAAATCTATTGTAGAGATATTTAAACCTATTTACCTGTGATTCGAAGTGATTTTTTAACAGATATAAAGCCATTAACAAAACAGACAACTGGATATGAATATTTTTATTCTTATTTAGGGTTATTTAGAATAAAAACAGGTAAACACACGACTTTAAAATTTTAGAACTTAATAGTTCGTAAGCAATGGCGTCGACTTAAATCATTAAAAGAAATAAACATCTATTAATTAATAGATTATAAAGCACAAATGGAACTATTCCTTCATCTTTGTCTTATAAGCGATTAACACGGAACCCTAAAAATAGGTGCTAGACTTAAGTCGCTTGACCGTCCATAAATGCTATAAAATACTTTATGACAGTAAGATAGTAGTTGCCATGCTTGGCAGGCCAGTCGACAACGGGAGTTAAGATTTTAGTGATGTTTTAAGAAAAATGCTGCTGCCCATCCCTCGATATTATTCCCTTAGTCACCTCTTACAACACCCGCGGAAATTATAAAATATCACCAGTTTAGAAATATCTAATATTTAAGATTATAAATATTAACTATTTCTTGAGTATTACCTAATAATTGTTTTCTATGACTGTAAAATGATAAATTTAGATCAAATTATGTACAACATAAATGTTATAAATTATCTATATAGATTTGTAGGTACATAGGTTTAAAGATATATACCTATAAATATTTTGTTAATACTTTTTCACCATCCAATCTCGTTATTTTCTTTTTTATTGTTAGTAAAATAAACAAGCAAACGGTCCACCAGATAAGTAACAACTGCTGTCACCTATGAAAACTTGCAACACGAGGGTTGCCTATGTATTATTGGCCTTTTAAATGTTTGTACATTTTTAGAAATCGTACAACTATTTAATAGGCCTATATTGTAGTTTGAAGGAATAACTACGAAGGGAGTCTATTTCACAAATTGTATAAGGTAAATAAGAACGACTTGACGCGTAATGGTAGTGTGCCACGTGCCAAAAAACCTCAATAAAGCCCAATTTTATAGCGAGCGAAAGTTAGGTTGGTAAAAAAATGATTAGGGAACTAGACAGTGTAATTCCTTGAAACACTTCACATTGTATAAAGGTGAAAGGAATTGATATTTGGGTGCTCTTGCCTAAAGTTAAGAGCAGTACTCTATATGTGCACGAATTTAGACTTCATGAAGTAGAAGCCAATACTGAGGAGTTAAATACGCTTTCGTTTGTTTTAACATCTCAAGGTTTTTAGAAGCCGATTGCAATTTTTTCCACTAAATGACCCCTGATTAGAAGTCGCTCGCACACACCTTACTCCTACCCATTCTTGATTATGCCGACTCATGTTATTTAGACCTCACCGAAGAGCAATTAAACCGTTCAAATCTAACACCTAATGCCGACTCATGTTATTTAGACCTCACCGAAGAGCAATTAATGACCCCTGATTAGTATCCGCTTCATATTTGGCTTTAAATATGATAATCCTAAGATCCGTTTTCTTAATGCTTTTAAAGACTTTAGAAAAAGTGTACTAGACTAATCTGTTTATGAAGACTTTTTAAGCTGTAAAAAATATGTAAAATAATTAAGTAATTATGTTTACCACAGTGGACACAAAAGTCGCCATGCCATCTATAATGTTTACTGAACTTTTTACTTTACTATAGGTACTAAACAGGTTTGCGAATACAACTATGAAAATTACATCTAATTTGGCGCAGTAGTTTTTGCGTGATGCCAGACCAAACATATATACAAAGACAGAGAGGTAATTTTTTTTAATTATTGTTTAGCTTTTTTATTATGTACCTCACAAATTATTTTTTCTTAAATACTCATCGTATATATATCATTACATACATATCATAATCTGGACAGAGAGGTAATTTTTTTTAATTATTGTTTAGCTTTTTTATTTAATTTATTTTATAAGTACTCATCGTATATATAATAATATCATAATCTGGTTAAAAATTTATTTTATAAGTAAATAAGGTGTTCAGCTATTGTAGGTACTAAATATAAAGAGGAAAGTTCGATTTGTTATACGTTTGTAATCGACGAATATATTTTAAAAATTCTTTGCCTTATCGAAAACTACATTATTAGTTAATAACATAGGCTATATTTTAATAAAAAAATTGTACTAAGTGAAGATTTTTCCTTTGAATCCTTAAACTGTGGAATCAGCTTCTTGTCAAGATTTTCCCTAGAGACTAAACTAAAGAATATAGGATCCTTAAATAGGGATATATTAAGGTTTTTTCAGGGTCGGCAACGCGTATATGACTACCCTAGTGTTGAGGAGGAAAGGGACTATCAAACGCAGACTAAGGTCTCAATTGCTAGCAATACACACAACCAGATTATTATTAGATAGGCTATATATTTGTTTGCCACCATCGTGATATAAAAGAAATAATTACTTGTTCCTCATGGTAGTGTATCTCGATTTTTAATTGCATAATATTTAAATTAATTTATTTAAATTTATTAGAATTAAAATATAACAATTCCTAAATTGGTATTCAATATTACAATAGCCTTTAAACCACCTGCAGGTGGCTCTGGATCATTCCTTAGGACAGTCTATGGGAAAGACCTATTATTGAGTAATGGACAGATAACGACTGATATGATCATGATGATGATGAATTATATTGGTACGGTAATTTTATGATATAGAGCGATGTAGTTGTCATTAAAAAACACCTTCTATAGAGATGTTCTCCACATTATCGCTGAGTGTTCAAAAAAAACCGGCGTTAAACGGTAAAAACTGTATCACTATATTGTCGCTAACCTTTTTATTCTCCTTAAACTTCCATTAGCAGTATCTCTTTTTAACAACGAGTGTTGCCATAGTCTCCTCATAAGTTTTAATGTAGATGGCGCTAACTCAAAGATTGAATAATCACTAAATTCGTTAGTTTATTCGTTCATCTGTACTACTATACAGCTAAGTTTCATTCGATGGATGGAGTGAACTGAAATGAACTAAATTGACTATCCTGCCAGCCAAAGTGAGCCACTGCATCGAAAACGGTTTCTGCCTTGAGTCTTGTGTGAATTGTGTGCTCGTGTGTGATATTTATTTCGAACCTTAGTGCCGTTTTAAGTGTTTTTGTGTTTTGTGAGTATTTATTACAAATATATTCTTGTCAAATTCGTTTATATAACAGTATCTCCAATATTTTCAGTTGATTCCATGATCTTTTATGTGTTCAATATGGCCGTTCTTTTAGATTATTTGAACTTTTTCTGATGACTAATTTGTAAAATATCAATTTTCCCAATATTCCATAAATTCCTTCATATTATGTTGGTGAATTTTTACAGTTTACACATTTCGTTGATGTGGCAATTGACAGTAACCCTATTGGATTTGACGTTTAATTTCTGACTCATTTTTCTGCAGTGCTCCCTTCTTTTTATTGTTTTTGCGCATGATTATTTCTAAAGATATAAAACACTTTTTAGAAGTTGTTAGTTAATACTCCTGCAAAATTAATAAAGCTGCTATAATATTTAAGTGCTTATTAAAATGAAATACTTATTGTCAATAATATTCAAAACAATCTTATTGGTTGTATTTTGAAAACTATTCCACTTTGATCGATATTTATTTGTATAACATCGTTTTCAATAACTTAAAAATATGCAGTAATGTGTTAAAAGCCAAAAACATTACACATATTCAAATATGTATATATATACTATAATAGTAAAAATTGTGCATATTATTCATTAAAAATAATATTATTACATTATTTAAACTCATTCTTTATCTACTGATAAATTCAACATAATATTCCTCCCCATATGTTATGCTTATTAATATCATAAATCTGAAATAGATATTGTTTATTTCTTAACAGCTCAACTAATCACCATATAATTTGTCATACAAGTACTATTTTGGATGAAGAAGAACAAATAGCCACACATACAGAGACAGAATAATCTGTTATGTCTATGGTACTACTTATGTTTATAAGCAACATTTACCATTTTCAATCAGATGACCCATCAGCTTGTTTATTACTATAAGTACATAAAAAATATGAAGTTTACTTTTTATCTGGATCAATCAACAGGTATATGCTGTTCACACAGATAAAGTTGCAAATAAAAACTAGTCCTGTAATAAGTAGGGATTATAAAGCTTACATTTATATTGTTGCTCTTTTCATAGGTGAGTTTAATTTGTTGTTAATTTATAATGATGAATTTTTAAGTTTTATAATGCTAAACAACACTTAAGAATCATTTTTAGGCTATAAATAGCTATATAAATCAGTACTAACATAAAATTATTTTATATTTTTGATAGCTATTTAATACCATATATAATCTGTGTGTACTGCAAACTCCTGTGCAACATATTATATGTAACTTAAAATATTAAATTATTAATTGTAAAAGAATATATTGAATAGCTTTTAATCAAATCTTAAAATATGAATATCACCTTAATTGTTTAATAATTTCTTCGGAGCATATTTTTTGTATAATAAGCAGTCCATTACTGACATCACATTATTGATTTTTATCTGTGACTTCAATTAAGTCATTGGAATGCATTGATTGACCAGACTATAAAATGTCCTTCTTCATTCCAAATACTATAAATATGTCAAACATAATCTTTAGTTGAGCAAATTAAGGTGCTAAACAAAAGGCTTTAAACAAAGTCCTGTTCCTATTCATAGTATTATTGGATTTTTACCTAAATTTATTTCATTTAATGCATGCTATACAATTTGCAATCCTTACATTATTTACTATTTAGAATATTAGGTGCTATACGAGAGACTAATATTATAAATATAAATTATAGATAGTGTTAAGTGTTTGATACAATATTAATAAATACTCCGGTATTATAAAGAATGATAATTTTATTTTTACCAATAATTCATAAACAACAAAAGATATTTCAGTTAAATATGTTACACAAAATAGATCACATCCCCTAGATTAATGCATATGATACTACCCTTTTTTATATTATAAATGTGGTAGTGGAGGCTAATTTATATTTCACTCACAGTAACAAAGTTGTGGATAAAAATTAGACCTAAATTAATTAATTATAATTAGCTATCTGCTAATTCTCAAAGTAAATATATATATATATCAATCATATAAAGAAATATTCTCATATAATATTTCTTTTTGCAAAGTTACCAAAATAAAGTTACCCTTGACATGGAAGCCATATATAGTTTTATTAGTCAGCTTGAATTACATGCATATTATCTTCAAAATTAAGTGAAACCTTGCAATTGCCATTTCAATAATAAGTTCACCATATTGCATACAAGTGTATAATAGTAAAAAGTTTAAGTTAGACACACCTGTTATAACTTCTTAGTCATATTATTTTTTAGTCAAATATAAATATATTTACACCTAAAGAATTTTGTGTCCTTTAGCAGGCAATTAAACCTTGTCACACTCAATGTAATTTGTCATTATTATTACTAACCTGGTATATCTCAAGCCTTTAACAGAAACAAACCTACATTTCCTCTATGTTCATAATTATTTATTTTTTATCACTAATCAATTAAATTTAAAGAAATATTTTAATAACTTAGTATAGTATTATCTGTTGATCTTTGGCACATATATATATAACTCTGACATGTGTAGGCCACATTTGTATGTAATAATTTGTGGAAGAGGCAGGGCATATTTCTTTATGATGCTATGCTTTTTGTAGTCATGAATTTCCAAAAAATATCACATATAAGTTATACATTTGTTTGTATTAATAAAAATGGATCATAGATATCTGTAATAAAAAAAATATATTAATATAATAAAATAATAATAACTCCAATATAAAGCAATATATTATTGCTTTATATTTGAGGTAGATGAAGCAAGTCTCTCATTTTTTAAATATAATAATTAAAAATCGCGTAAATCGAGACTAAATGCAGTTAGAATCTAATATTTATTTAATTACGAGTCAGTGCATTAAACGGTGGTTGAGACGGAGCAGCGTTTCACATGTTATCATAGGATGTGTGTTTTGTTGCACAGGTGTGATAATGGCCACGGTGCTCCCGCCGTCGCCCGCGTGAACAAGTAAGACTCTAGTGCAGTGAACCTCCCGGGCCCGCCGCCTCAAGCGTCACCCGATCACAATGAAAATGGTGTTGTCTCAACGGCAACGAGAGGAGCTGTATGTATTTATTTTATTGGTATTTATATTATTGGTTTTAGAGAAAACTGAAGTCAGACTCAAAGTAGTTTCGTATAACATATTTTCCATTCGTTACAAGTTTTGGAGCATAGTTTCAATGGCGGCTGCAGTAGAATAAAGAGCAAGAGATAGAAAAGGTTTAAACCAAAAGAAACAACGTACAACATTATTTGTAAATGTAGTCTAGCTGCGAAAGATTTGCTTAGTCTAACTTCATTGAAGTTAACCAAACATGAAAACAGTAAATATAAAAAATTTAAACATTCCGAAATAAAAAAAAAATTTCAATATATACGAGGTCTGTCCGGAAAATGTTCTGGAATAGTGGGGAGGCCAGGTAAGCGCAGGATATGTCCCTAACAATCAGTTCTGGTCTGACCGCCGTGCGGTGCGAACTGGCTTGTCAATCTGTGAAGTTACCTCTTAACGAAAATGGAGCCCGCTTCCGTTGAAGAGCAGCGCGTCGTAATCAAGTTTCTCTCGAAACTCGGCAAGAATGGCCGTGAAATTTTTGCCGATCTCAGAACAGTTTATGGGGATGATGCTGTGAAGGAACCAACCGTCCACAAGTGGCTAAAAAGATTCAGAGAGGGCCGAGAAAGCGTTCAAGATGACCCACGTTCAGGACGTCCTTCCACTTCACATTCCGACGAAAACGTGGAAAGAATTCGAACTTGTGTTAATGGGGACCGTCGTTTAACGGTCAGACAGGTGGCTGAAGAGCTTAATTTGGGCAAAACCGTGGTCCACGAAATTCTAAGAAACGAACTTCAAATGAAAAAAATTTGCGCCAAGATCGTTCCGTGAGTTTTTGAGTAAAAATTCCATTACGGTGACCGAACAATTCGCCGGATTTGGCCCCGTGTGACTTCTTCTTGTTCCCAAAAACCAAAACTTCGGGGGCGGCATTTGGGGGACATAAATGAGATAAAAAAAGCTACGACGGGGCAGCTGAGAAACCTACAACCAGAGGACTTTCAAGGAGCCTTCTCACAGTGGAAACGGCGTTGGCACAAGTGCATTATAAAAATTGATTTACCTGAATAATTGTAAAATAAAATTTTTAAAAAAAAACTTTCCGGACAAATATATCTTGCGACGAAAAATAAAAGCTTTAAAAAAATAGACAGAAAAATGCCAAAAGGTTCCCTAACCTTATTTGCAATACATTGCACTTTAATTAATTCGACATTAATATTAGAAAGTGACTATTGAAATCAACTGATCTGTTGATTTTATTTACAAAATATTGATTGAGAAAACACATATAGAGCTGTAAGACTATTAACGACTATGTTATATACTAGAATTATCGTAATTAAAATTAGAAAGCTGTATTTAGAAATTAGCCAGTACAAACTCAGACAAATGTATAATTGTAATTCCTACGATAGCAGGTGTTGCACTGTCCTTGATTGTGTCTAACCTAGATTAATCAAAACCTATAAGTATAAGTTTTGAATAATCTAAATTATTATCTTTGTTATATAATAGAATAAATCTATGGTCAAAGGCTTTGCTTTATAATTTGGCGACCAAGAAAATATTTTTCTATAGGACGAAGATTTTGTATCCATACCTAGTATTCTTTTTCTTAGAGAATTATTCACTGTCATATATTTTTCAAATAAAACTCTCTAAGCTAATAACAGAAGTAGAAGCATTCACTATGTAGACAACTTTGAACAGATTATTAAAAAAATAACTAAATATTAATGTAATTGTGTAATGTACTTAGTATGTGATCTCTTGTCTTTCGTATTCAATATTTCATTAACTAAAATATTGTCTATTAGAGCGAATTTCCACTGATATTTTTAGGCGTATTTAAATTAAAAACAATAGTCTTGCAAAAATATATTTTAATTCTCCTCTGAGTTTTAATGAATTCGGTCAAGCAAATATTTGCCGAGGCAACAAGGTCGTGGCTATAACGCAACGATACCTTTACAAGTATTTTACTAGTATCGAATTAAACACACTCTAGCAGAGCATAAATATTAAATCATCATCATGTCAGCCGTTATTTGTCCACTGCTATAAATAGGTTTCCTCCATGGACTCATAGGCCGTTCCTTATGGCAGTTAACAATTAGAGAGATTTACCAGTAGTTGCCACGCTTGGCAGGCGGATTGACAACTGCAATTAGGCTTTGATGATTTTTTAAAAGGGCAATGGGCATCGCATCCTACTAAATGAATCATACATAATATACAACGAGATAGCAATATCTGATGTTCTGCTTTTTCCCTACATATCGAAAGTGCGTCTACCCATAAATTCGTTTGTCACTTGTTGTTTCCGAGGTCCATCTTCGACCTCATTGTCACTTCCTATTACATTAAAGAAACACCCGTCTTGCTACTGCATTTGTTACAATTGACGTCGTTCTTTTTGGCGCAGCAAAATCTTTAACTATTGAAACTCAAAGATTCAAAAATGTAATACGAGTATGTAAAATGAAAGTAGTTCTATCAATGTTATATGTATTGCGCCATGCTGCAATATCTTAATATAACTAGAATACTTTGACGTATGTAAATTTATATCTTAGTCCCCAAAAACTTGATATATAATCGTTTCGTATTACCTAAGTTCGATAGTTGTATCAAGTTGTTTGTGTAATCGAATTTAAACGATTAATTTCCTTCCGCGTGAAACCATTCGTGTTTTATTTACTCGTCCTAACTCTTTCTATGAAAGTTGGAAGTAGTTTCTAGATTTTAGTGCCCAGTTAATTATTAAGTATGATAATTATTAGAAAGAAAGAAATCATTTATTCAAATAAACTTACATTGAAGCACTTTTGAAAAGTCATTACATTTTTTTTAATCTACCGCTCGTTCGGAAAGCTGTCTCATCACAAGAAGAACGAGCAAGAAACTTGCGTGTTGCTCTTTTAAAAATATTTATTACTTATTCAGTTATGATTTGGTCTTTGATGTAAGAAAGCAATCTACGGGACGGGACCGTCCTATATGATATACGAGTACATACAAGAAAACAAAGAAAAGACTTTTATTTCGTCATTGTGCAATTTTTCGTATTTCTCAACTTTAATTTTGTCGTTGTTTGATTTTTTTATAATTGTCAATTAAATAGATAGCATAAAAGGTAGAAAATATTCCTGCAGTACTTTGAGCACTGGCTGTAGTCAGCGGGGAAGTCGCGGGTGACCTGCCAGCCGCTCGACCTTTGAAAGTAACAGTGTTCTTCACTGAAAGGTCATTGATCCCGCCTGCAGCGCCTTCCACTAGGCTCCTATGCATAACTTTCTTCATAAATTAAGAAATTCCATAATTTTTACTAGCTGTGTCATTATAGATTAAGAGAAACTGTACCCTATCTCTCTTTGTGCTAAATTTCTTTTAAATTTGTTCACCAGTTTATAAAAGTAATAAATATTCAAACATTTATAAGATTTTATTCATGATTCAATGCACAAACTTATCTGTGAACAAATGCGGCCTTCAAAATAATCGTTACTTTATAGATAGGATTGTTACCATAATTTATTTCAATAATATGTACATTACTACAGAAATATTTTAATTGCTTCAGAAATAAATTATCTATTATACAGATACTGATATTCATTGAAAACCTGTCTAAAATATGCATCTATAATATTATTATTATTAAATCTATGCTATTGCTATTACTTAATAGAATTTTGTAACTCAAACTTGTTTGTTATGAATATAATCTTATACTTATCCCATTGTTTTGTATTGTGCCAATCGCGAACTCGTGGCCCAAATGCCTTATCGCATTCCTCTTTACCTTACCCTTTGAGCTCGCCTTGCTCAAGTGAAAGGAAACACGACCTGCAAACTTATAAAGATGGCCATTCTGTTCACACGCTATTGTTATTAATGTATATCGTGTCCAACCAAGGTGCAACTCGCCCATATAAATTTTGAAATTACGTAAGCTTATTAGACAAATGCGATTATACTCTTAATAGTATTACGCTAAAGTACTGCAGGTGAATGACAGAAATATCCTATATGCTAAACATAACGATATCTTACGTCATACGTGTTGTGTTGTGTCTCTTAGAACGGGACCGGACGTACAAAGTCGCACCAACATGTTACTGTTACTTTATAACACCTTCCCGAGTATCAATAGAAAATCTCGGCTCCATGGGACCATTCCGCGTTCCGTTCGAATCTACCGCGTCAAGAGTTGGGGTCGTTGAACGCGTCTCTTGATTAAAAATAACGATGACAAGTGAATTAAAAGTAGCAAAATTGCTAAAAGGACTTGATCCGCTCTATTGTCAATATAGTAGGAATGACATAATATACCTGGTGTATGTACTGATTGGACCTTAATTACCCACTTATGTTAAAAGAAAAATTTAACATAAGAAAACAGTTTTTATATAACATGGAAAGGCAAATAAGCAGGCAGCCCATCTAACGGAAAATGGTAACCGTCGCGTAAGACATTCATAACGTTATGATATGAACATCCCTGAGTACGATGTCGTTTTGAGGTGCTGTTTATAAGATTTTTTTAATGGGTGAAAATGAAATAACCCCGTCTGCGCTATCGGAATTCACTGATTGGACATCAGTGAGTCATAATGAAGTAGGTCATTTGGTCTATTATGATGAATTTAACATTAACCGCAATAGTTTTTTTTTTTTTTAATGGATAATAATGGAATGATAGCCCCCACCCGCCCTATCGGTATACACCGGAGGGGCACCAGTGAAGGATGATAGGTGAGGATGAAGTAGGTCAGTTAGCCCATCGTGATGAATTCAACAAGAATTGTTCACGATGGTTTCCAGGGGGAAACACGTGGAGGTCGACCTAATAAGGCATATTGCTAGCAATGGTGCTGTCAAACTCCATTGCTAAAAATTCCTTTCCCCCTAACCACAATAGTTCCCAAAGGGAACCTCGTCGAAGTCCACCTGATAAGGTATTTTGTTAACAACTTCATTATTAACGATCCCTTTCT